CAAAATGTCCATGCCAAATTTTATGTATGTAGGTCCACGTTTACTGGTAGCCCCCATACAAAGGTACCCCTATTTTGAGTATTTACCCAAAAATTGGGTATAAACTCATTAACTGCCGAACCACTTGACATAGGCGGCCAAAATTTGGCTCAGATGGTTTTTATATCAATACAAATATTGAAATCCAAAATGGGGGCCCTGGGTCCAAGTTTTGATATAGCCCCCATATAACCGTACCTACCGATTTAAGGTACTTTTACGATCAAATTGGTTGTAATTTGGCATAGTGAGATTTTTTTTGCACAAAATATTCATGCAAAATGTGGTTTTTGACACACATGGTTTAAAATCAATATTATTTCCTGTATGGGAAAAGGGGTCTTCAAAACACACGTCAAATAGTTCGGCTGTAAAAGAGTTTATAAATATATATAAATACCCAAAATCAGGACCGCCATATAGGACAGAAAAAGTTGACCAGAGCAAACAATTGGTACTCATAGAGAACTCTCTAAGCCAAATTCCAGCCAATCAAATTGGTTAATAGATAAAAATGTCCTAAAATCGGGACATACGGTTATATGGGGGCTATATCAAAACTTGGACCCAGGGACCCCATGTTGGATTTCTATATTTGCTTTGACATTAGAAACATGTGTGCAAAGTTTTGGCCGCCTATGTCAAGTGGTTCGGCAGTTAATGAGTTTATACCCAATTTTTGGGTAAATACTCAAAATAGGGGTGCCTTTGTATGGTGGCTACCAGTAAACGTGGACCTACATACATAAAATTTTGCATGGACATTTGGTACCCAAAAAGAACACTCTGTGCCAAATTACAGCCAATTTGGCCTTAAAATGTGTCTAATAGGCAAAAAATACCTTAAATCGGGAGATACGGTTATATGGGGGCTATATCAAAACTTGGACCCAGGGTCCCCATGTTGGATTTCTATATTTGCTTTGACATTAGAAACATGTGTGCAAAGTTTTGGCCGCCTATGTCAAGTGGTTCGGCAGTTAATGAGTTTATACCCAATTTTTGGGTAAATACTCAAAATAGGGGTACCTTTGTATGGGGGCTACCAGTAAACGTGGACCTACATACATAAAATTTTGCATGGACATTTGGTACCCAAAAAGAACACTCTGTGCCAAATTACAGCCAATTTGGCCTTAAAATGTGTCTAATAGGCAAAAAATACCTTAAATCGGGAGATACGGTTATATGGGGGCTATATCAAAACTTGGATCCAGGGTCCCCATGTTGGATTTCTATATTTGCTTTGACATTAGAAACATGTGTGCAAAGTTTTGGCCGCCTATGTCAAGTGGTTCGGCAGTTAATGAGTTTATACCCAATTTTTGGGTAAATACTCAAAATAGGGGTACCTTTGTATGGGGGCTACCAGTAAACGTGGACCTACATACATAAAATTTTGCATGGACATTTGGTACCCAAAAAGAACACTCTGTGCCAAATTACAGCCAATTTGGCCTTAAAATGTGTCTAATAGGCAAAAAATACCTTAAATCGGGAGATACGGTTATATGGGGGGCTATATCAAAACTTGGACCCAGGGTCCCCACGTTGGATTTCTATATTTGCTTTGACATTAGAAACATGTGTGCAAATTTTGGCCGCCTATGTCAAGTGGTTCGGCAGTTAATGAGTTTATACCCAATTTTTGGGTAAATACTCAAAATAGGGGTACCTTTGTATGGGGGCTACCAGTAAACGTGGACCTACATACATAAAATTTTGCATGGATATTTGGTACCCAAGAAGAACACTATGTGCCAAATTACAGCCAATTTGGCCTTAAAATGTGTCTAATAGGCAAAAAATACCTTAAATCGGGAGATACGGTTATATGGGGGCTATATCAAAACTTGGACCCAGGGTCCCCATGTTGGATTTCTATATTTGCTTTGACATTAGAAACATGTGTGCAAAGTTTTGGCCGCCTATGTCAAGTGGTTCGGCAGTTAATGAGTTTAAACCAATTTTTGGGTAAATACTCAAAATAGGGGTACCTTTGTATGGGGGCTACCAGTAAACGTAGACCTACATACATAAAATTTTGCATGGACATTTTGTCCCAAAAAGAGCACTCTGTGCCAAATTACAGCCAATTTGGTTGTAAAATGTGTCTAATAAACAAAAAATACCTTAAATCGGGAGATATGGTTATATGGGGGCTATATCAAAACTTGGACCCAGGGACCCCATGTTGGATTTCTATATTTGCTTTGTCATTAGAAACATGTGTGCAAAATTGTGGGCGCCTATGTCAAGTGGTTCGGCAGCTAATGAGTTTATACCCAATTTTTGGGTAAATACTCAAAATAGGGGTGCCTTTGTATGGGGGCTACCAGTAAACGTGGACCTACATACATAAAATTTTGCATGGATATTTGGTACCCAAAAAGAACACTCTGTGCCAAATTACAGCCAATTTGGCCTTAAAATGTGTCTAATAGGCAAAAAATACCTTAAATCGGGAGATACGGTTATATGGGGGCTATATCAAAACTTGGACCCAGGGTCCCCATGTTGGATTTCTATATTTGCTTTGACATTAGAAACATGTGTGCAAAGTTTTGGCCGCCTATGTCAAGTGGTTCGGCAGTTAATGAGTTTAAACCAATTTTTGGGTAAATACTCAAAATAGGGGTACCTTTGTATGGGGGCTACCAGTAAACGTGGACCTACATACATAAAATTTTGCATGGACATTTTGTACCCAAAAAGAGCACTCTGTGCCAAATTACAGCCAATTTGGTTGTAAAATGTGTCTAATAAACAAAAAATACCTTAAATCGGGAGATATGGTTATATGGGGGCTATATCAAAACTTGGACCCAGGGACCCCATGTTGGATTTCTATATTTGCTTTGTCATTAGAAACATGTGTGCAAAATTGTGGCCGCCTATGTCAAGTGGTTCGGCAGTTAATGAGTTTATACCCAATTTTTGGGTAAAAACTCGGGTATTTACCCAAGTATTTACCTACGTCTTTAAAGTATCGTAAAACTATCCATTCTAAATCGATTTGATAACAGAAATCCGGAAATAGGGTGTAAGATGTTGTATTACCGAGTCAATATAGTAAATACCCAAATAAATACCCGCAAATGGGTATTTACCCGGTATTTACCCACCCCTTGGGTATTTACCCGGTAAATACCATCTCTACTTATGATTTTCGTGAAGGTGGAGTTTATGGACTTTTATTATACATGTTATTGGGTTTCCAATGACTGACATGACTTTGGATGACTTTATGGCTTTGTCATACGAATTTCGTTAGGGTCGGATACAGGTATCAGTTACCTATGAATGCAAAAATACATATTATTTATAGATATATAGCTCCGATCGGCCACTTTTCGAAGAAAGGAAGGCACGTATCATTAATGATTTGAAGGAAGAAATGCACATTATTGTTGACACACCTAAGTCAGTATCCGGAACAACAAACGATGGCAATACTGCTAGGCGTTTTTAGGCAACCTGGCTTGGCATCATCGATAACTGGTGTTGATGAAAAATTAATTAAAAATTTTAGTATCATCCTTTCAACCATGGCCTGTGGATATGCTATTACGGTAGAGTCTTTTAAAAAACTTACTGAGGAAACATTTATTCTTTTCGTGGAATTATATTCTTGGTTCTATATGCCTTCAAGCATACACAAAATATTAGTGCATGGAGCTGATATAATTAAATGTGCAGCTTTGCTCATAGGAATGTTGTCTGAAGAAGCCATGGAATCCAGAAATAAGGACTTTCGGAACTACAGGGAACTGTACACCAGAAAAATTAGTCGTGAGGAAACAATGTTTGTCTTGTAGTACATGTTTGTCTTGTAGTACATCTCTTAACCATCGATATAGTGAGCCACTATCAGAAGAAGTCCTTAAACTACGGGAGGATCCAATGCTACCAACTAATTCAGATCAAAACTCGGATTCTGAATGTGATTAGTATTTAATAAGTAACGCCTAAATTTTGTAAAATATATATAGTTTAATGTTTTAGATATGTAATGTTAACAATAATAAAGATATATATAATAACAATAGTGTTTGCCCTTAACCCACTTTTTACCCTCCAAATGTTTCGGAATTTTTAAAAGAAGCTTCCATTTTAGGAGTACTATTAGTTATAACGAAAAATGTTGCTTATTATAAAATATTTCAATTGCTTCAAAATAGTAATTTTCACATACAAATTTAAGTTTTTTCTAAAAAAAAAAATCGGCGCTTAATAGGTTAATAAAAAAAATTGCCAAATTTTTTCATAAAATAATTAAAATTGTCCATCTAAATCTATTCTTATCCAAAATATCGATAAACATACAGTAAAACATCTACTTTGATTTTCTGCGCGCTAGATCTACATTTTTTTCCACTGTGCCCGGGTTGGGGCACATTCGCGAATTTGACTTTTTTTACAAAACTGTAAAATTTTGTAACTAATTCTATTTTTTTATATCTTTTTGGTACTATTTTTTATAATTAAGTGTCAGAGGACAACAATCAGCCATAAAGTTGTTATATATGTTGAATAAGTTCTGAGATATAGAGCTCTAAAACAAAAGTGCCGATGGGGCCCAGTCTCCCATATAACATGCACGTCCGGGCCGTGTTAAAAAATCTATTTTTAAGGAGGCGTATAATTGTAAAAATTGGGTATCACATAATGTAAGGTTTGTGGTTTGTATAAGTTGAGACCAAAAGAAACTAGTCATAGAAAATAAAAATATCTCAAGCCCTGTTCTGAACAGGCGCATGTTTGTCCACATTTCAAAAAAAAATCATCAAGAGTAACTAGCACTATGATTTGGATATAAATAATTTCATCTCTTCAATACATTTTAGAAAGAAAGTTCGCATAATAAAACTTTTAAAATAAATCCAAGCAAATCTAAGCATAGTCGGAAATTGTCAACTCCTTCAGTAGGCCTCCACTGTATAATTCCGTTTACAACCATTTTACATACCCAATATATTAATACCAACGGGTCCCGCATTGTTCGCCTGCCCGTTGTTTTGATTTGTATTATTCTGTGCGCTTAAATTCAATGGATGAAGTGGATGAGCTGGATCGGTGTAGTTTGTTAAATATGCTCCGAATTTAAGTTGGGCTTCGGTACTGTCCATTACGGAAAACATCCAATCCCATGTTGGTTTTAAACATTTCTCAACAAATTCCTGAAACAAAAAGGGTTAATAATAGAATAGAAAACAAATATAACATAAACTATGTCAAACAGAATCTATATAAGACAACGTGTGATTGGTCCATTTTTGTAACCCCATTATAACACAGTACCACTTTTGTTATAAGATGCTTTTTAATATACGTGTTACGTTCTCATTCAGCATCGTTAATTTTCTTATAATTTATTCAGAAAATTTTCAGTATGTGCTGACAGAAACAAAATTAGTTCACGCATTCCAGAGAACATACATTTCAAACATAATGTAACTTATTTATATATATATATATATATATATGTATATATAAATTAACTATTGTCTAATAAAATAAAGAAGCTAGGAAAGTATTGAAGATAAAATAAACAAATTTTAAGAAACTCAATGAGATATCGCTTGGTTTTTAGCAGTGGTATTGCCATTTGTGGTGTTTTTTTTTAAAGGACAGTGGCGCTAATTGAGAAGTCTGGATACCTCTAAACAATTGTATGGACCTGAATATGGTATGGAATATGACGTGGTACAAACCTGTAACTTTGTGACCTCTTCAGGAAGTACTTTCAATGAAGTTTCGATGTCATTTAGTATATTATACGTTAGAGCGCACATTAGTTCTGATATTTGACGAACTATTATTCCAAATGCACGTGCTAAGTTGCTAGACGTAGTTGCCATTGTATGTTGCTCCTGTGGAGGTGCAGCGACTGCAGTACTAGCTGGAACTGTGGAACGACGTAATGCCATGGGATCTATAAAGACTAGGCTTGATCCAGCAGGCATTCGAACAGATGACCGCGCTGTGTCTCGACTGCGTATAGCCCACTGCATAGATTGTGGTGCTAAATCATTGCGATTATTCGAATTATTACTTCTGCGTTCCAACTGGTGATCGGCATAGGTGAATTCATCATCATCATGATCATCTGTTTCTCCATCTTCTGAGCCTTCTTCTTCTTGAGGAGAGGAATCACCCGACTCATCTTCAAGAAACAGAACACCAATATCTGTAAAGGTAATGAACTTTAATTCCTTAAATATATATATATATATATAATAAACATAACCAGTAAGAAAAGGACCAATGTAAACTATGTGTTTATCAAATTTTATCGTTATAAGAAACATATTTTAGTTTGGCATAGTTTAATGTGATATCGCATGAAACGAATATTTGTACCAAGGGTAGCGCAGACAACACGTCTTTGCTAATTGGATTATCCATTAAAATTGTAAATTAAGAAGAATCGTTTTTATATTTTATTTTATGTTTCAAAACTACAACATTGACACTCTCAATAAACAGAGTGGTTGCTTCTCGTTTTTTTATAAAAACTACGCAACCAAATGTTTGGTGAGAATGAATATGGGATTTTAAGAGGATTATTATTGTTTTCAAATCTTTTAAATACCACTGCTAATTTATTAATTTAGCTATGAATGAAAAGATACCAAACAGTCCAAATGCCTACATATATATAACGATAAACACATCTTGGTTTAGGTTGAATAAATTGATGAAAAAAAATATTCATAAAACAAAATAGAATTTCAAATCTAAACCTGTTTCAGATCCAACTGTTGCGCCTGTTTGAACACTTCGTTGAGCATCTTGATTGCTTTGGTTGTCATCGGAATCGGATTCGGTTTCGGGCTCATTGAATGTATATTCATTATCACTTTCGTCATCCTGGATGGCATCATCATTTCGACCACTCTCTAGAATGTCTTCATCCTGATTATTTGTTGCACCATCTCGGTTAGTGTTTTCTTCGCTTTCAGAAGTGTCTCTTAAAGCTGTCAACAATAACATAATAAGAAAAAGTTACATTTGTGTAGATCAATTTTTAGAATACCTATACTATCAATTCCATAATTTTGTTGAAAGTTGAAATTTCCAGCTTGTTCGCTAGCATTTTCGTGAACAGTATTTGTGTCAATAACTGACTCTGCAACTGACGATGGCGCCAATGGATCCACACTAAAGAGGTCGTCAGAATTCTAGTTCAAGAAAATAGGGTTAAGGCTTTTTATTTTTTAATAGCAGACACAAATACTTACGTCAACGTTAGACGAAGACAAAAATGGTGCTGTTGGACGCACAACACCTAATCTGACTGGGGCTATTAACGCTTCTGATACTTCACATAGTTCTTCGATGGCTAGCCTATGTAATGTTTGGAAAACCTTAACACAACTCTGTATGTGTTTTAGTGGCACTGAAAGAGGTTTACGGCGTTCAGGATTCGGAAATTTCTCAAGATTAAAAATTACGAATACACGGGCAACTGAACGAACAAACCGACGTGCAACCATTTCTGCATCTTCGATTCGATCTGGAATAGAATCGTTTTGCATTTCCCGCACCAATGTCATTAGTAATGTGTCCAAGTGATCTGAAGAACATTTGACAAATAAGTTGTGCGTAAACTTATCGAGTAAAGTTGATCCACTCTGATTTTGTAAATATATATTGTAATTCTCGGAGCTAGAAACGTCGGAGGAATTTGGGGGTTGCTGAGGAGTGGTTTCACTTTTTTCAGCACCGGTCATAATCATTGCCCTAACAGCATGCCAGTCAATCAGTAAACGCTCCAATGCTCTCTTAGCAAACTTTGGAGGCTCTAAGTCATGGTCGGGCATGTTTGCATCTACATCATTCGATGTTGACGATTTTCGTGTTGAGTTGCTACCACTACCCGATCCACTTGCTCCACCGCCGACATTGCGCACACGCGAATTTGCTCTGTACTGGCGTTGCTCTACAGTTTGTCTTCCAACCGTTTGAATTAGGAACAACAGTATGGACTCACCCTTAGCGTTGAATTTCGTGACCAAATCTGTGCATGATGCAAGTTTGCACAAAAGCGCAAATCGTTTATTTTGATTGCCCGCTATCAAAGCTTTACACTTGCATTTCTCCCAACAATCACAGTAAGCGGTTGGAGAGGTTCGTTTCAGTTTGCAATCGTGTCCTTTGTGGCACACTCTTGCGCATTCAGTGCAGCAACAAAGTGAGTCTGTCAAACCACACGTTTTGCACTCGTATATATTTTGATTAATATGATCTGCTCCAGTCCACGTAAATGAACAGGTGTCGTTGTAGCAAATCACATATAGGGGCGACTGATCCGGAGGTGATCCCGGTGGAAATATCATTGCATTCTTCATGGCCACGTCTTTATCTGCGACCGATAGAATTGTGTTCAAAAGTATTATTCCAGCTTCGTATGCTCGATTGTAGACTGCTAACATAAATGGAGTCTGGCCTTGAGCATCTTTACTGCTGAGAAATTGATAGAGGTAGGTACGCAAAGCCGGGCTTGAGCACATTTGCTGAAGGATAACTGTGGCATTTTCTCGTCTCTGTATTGGATCGAACACGTAGTTCGGTGAAGTGAACTTATGCGTTGCTGCGCTACTGCTACATCCCGCAATTATTTTAGAAATATCTTCTTCGGCAGGATTTCCACTAACTGCATCGTTAGCACTGGTTCCCGACGAACTTGTGTTTGACTCTATTGTCCACGGAGCAATGTACACATTGTTATCATCACTGTTACTGCTGGCCATATTACTCACATTATTCGGTGCCGTTTGCTCCATATCCGTGTTGATAAGACGATTCATCATTTCTCGCAAACTTACAGTCCGACCTTCTCGAGACGTAGAGTTAACAGATGACATTGAGGCCGATACATTCGATACATTCGGAAATGCTGGGGACGATTGGGAATTAGCTGCATTAGATGTAGATGGTACTGAAGAGTTGTCAATTGCCGTAGATGCATTTGTCGAGAAGACGGAAGTTGGCGCAGGAGAAGATCGCGATGTTATACCCGTAAATGTTGAGACTTTTTTCTCGTCCGAATCCTTATTCGTAGTCGGAGAACACATTACAGTGCAGGCATGAAAGATATTTCGTGATCCATCGCACCTCTCGTCCAATATCGCTAGCGCATCATTGCGGTCTTCTTTTTCCAATTGATTTAGAACCGCAAAGACATTCTTTACATCACACCGCAGAATATGTGGCATTAATTTTTGAGACTCAAATAACAGGGCTGTCATGCACACCTTTGATTTTTGATTGCTGTTATTCAATGTCGAAGTAAGCGATATAGTGGTCATGGCTACGGCTTTTACTGGAGATAAATCGAACCACTGAGGATCTTTTATGGAACCCACACAATCCTTTGCCATTGGATAGAGTGCCCGGTTTCCGTCACGCACGACAATTGTGCTAGTATTACCACTGCTATCATTATTACATATCATGGAAATATTATTGGGAGATGCACCCATAAATGAGCCGCTATCAGTCGGAAATTGACAATTTTGTTCTTGTTTACTGTTATACAAGTTGTATAAACTGTAATGTAGTTTGCTCCCAACCTTTTTCACTACATGTATTCCACGCAAATCTACTGCTAAGGAAAGTAGCTGAAAGGCAGATGCATCGCTACCATGACTTATATTGATTTTTTTGGGCATCTTTTGTAACCATTCCGGGCCCCTTGAAGCCATTGCTGTTTTGTAGACCTGTACATCTTCTCGGCGTAACAAACGACACTGCTGCCAGTCGTCTTCCTTGCCTTCGCTAGCTGCTGCACTAGCCGAGGCCGATGAAGAGGGTGGTATGGGCGACGACATTGGAAATCGTACAGCTACAAAATCTCCATCAACTTTTAGTACTTTACCGATAGGACCAAGCTTATCTTCGACAAACACAACGTCTTTCAACTGCCACAATTCCTCATCTTTTTTCCCATCAGAATTTTCATCTTTTCCAGCCATGCGTTTCGTGCGTTTATGAGACGTAACACTGCCGGTATCACTACATGTACTCGATGCAGGAGACGGAGGAGGCGGCATGTCTATTCTATCAGTAGTCTCCTTATTTGAGGAGGAGCTTTTGTTCGAAGACACATTTTGAATTGTAACACTTTTTGTTGATTCCTTCTCCAAAGAAGGGCCGGCGCTGCTACAACTAGTTTGTTGTAATTTTTCAGTTCCACCAGCATTTGTTACGTTAAGTATTTTGAATCTACACACGTCGTTTGAATCCCAAACAGAGTTTAATAGTTGTCCAACTTTTGGTACCCCATTCGCACATGTAAATCCAATAGAGCCCGTTTGGTACTTGGGACATTTCTTCATAATTACTTGAGTTCCCACGGCAATGTCAGAAGAAACGCTTTTAAACGGTTTTTTCAACTTTGTACGGCTTTTATCCCACAAATATCGGCGTTGGTCAAAGGGCAATACACCCCACCAGTATACGTTATTATTTTCAGTACGAACAGCAGTATATAAAGAACATACGTTAACAGACACTATTGGATCAACCATGAATTCGCTGAATAATATTGCTCCGTGTTCCAATTTATTTCCAATATAACCTAATTGCTCGTCCATCCAAGTTGCAACACGATTGTTTTCAGTGACCACAGAACAACGTATGAAGTTAGCCGAAATATGTTCAATTTTTTCTGTTAAATTAAGCGCAATTGTTTTTGGGTGATAAACATTCTCAACCTAAAAAAAATAAATAAAATAATAAATTAATAAAATAATTAGATAATTTCAAATAAATGTTAGTTTCTTCAACGACAGCTTCCGTCAAGCTAAACGCCTTTAAGAAGAACGGCGGTCTGGTGGTCAAATACTCCAAAGGCATATTCAGTTCCCTCTCCCCTAATCGCAAAAACAAACAGATGCTGCGGAGTCTGAGGTTGGTGCGAATAAACCTGCATTATTATAGGGCTCCAGCGGCGGAACTTCTCCTTCACTACTGCACAAAAAATGCTGACATTGGGGAGCCATATATTGTTAAACATATGATAACTGGGCTCAAGGACAAAAACTACACCCTCTTCGTCCCCTTTCAATTTTATTCTAAATAATAATTTAAAAATTTGCAACAGAGGTGATACTCCTACTATAGGTTAAAGGTGGAAGTTATAGACAAAGTTATTTCCAAATTTCCAATTTTGGAACGAAACAGATTGCTAAAAGAAATTATGGTACGTTGGCTAATTCTGGGGGTTACTCTGTATTGCGATGCGATGCGAAAAATTGTAAAATTGTATCGGATCGAGTAATTCTTACTCTCTAATTCGTTTTCGTATCTCCTTTCGCACCTACTTTACGCAAGTGCGGCATCACCGCACTCTGTAATACGAAAACGTATGTCAAAATCGTTCGTTAAACGCAAATATCTTGCGTTAACAAAATAGCAAACGCAAATGAAGCGAAACATGTAAGTAAGCACAGTTAAAGGTTTTATTTATATCTGACGCCAAAAAGTTACCGACTCAGCAACGTCAGTTCCAAACTTTAGTAGATTTTATGGTGCAACACAGCGATATTATGGCACGTTGGCTAATTCTGGGGGTTACTCTGTATTGCGATGCGATGCGAAAAATTGTAAAATTGTATCGGGGGGGTTACTCTGTATTGCGTTGCGAAAGCAAGTGCGATGCGAAAGCTAAGTGCGTTAAGAGTACAATTTGGTACTCTGTAACGTTCACGCAAACGCATTCGCAAACTAAATTGAAAATAGGGCAACACTGTCGCCACAAAATTGTAAATGAAAACATATTTTTGTGTGGTACGAGTGTTTTTTTAAACAAAAATGATGAACGAATTAAAAAAAAAGAATTTTATGAGATATATCAAATATACTCTCCCTAAGTGACCACGGGTATGAAAATATAAGTACGAATTATGTGACAAATGTTTTCAAATATTTAATTTTTATAGATTTATATGATATGTCTCAATAAAGATTCGTTTATGTATTTTTTAATCGCTCGTCGTTTCAAATAGATCCACAACAATTCCAACTCCAATAAAAGAGGCCGCTGCTTTGAAATTGCTTGGACAAGGTAGTTATCAACACCAACCTATAAATATGCACACCTAGTTTCACATTTTATATAAAAAAATAATATATTACTTTTACCAACCACCGACATTTACAATTTACAATTACAATTTTTCTCACGCATCGCAATACAGAGTAGCCCTCCGGATCGAGTAATTCTTACTCTCTAATTCGTTTTCGTATCTCCTTTCGCATTTACTTTACGCAAGTGCGGCATCACCGCACTCTGTAATACGAAAACGTATGTCAAAATCGTTCGTTAAACGAAAATATCTTGCGTTAACAAAATAGCAAACGCAAATGAAGCGAAACATGTAAGTTAGCACAGTTAAAGGTTTTATTTATATCTGACGCCAAAAAGATACTGACTCAGCAACGTCAGTTCCAAACTTTAGTAGATTTTATGGTGCAACACAGCGATTTGGCAAAGGGGCAGTTGCAAAGTTCAAATGTGGGCTGATGACCTCAATTCAAATGGACCTCCTGTAAGAGATGTCACTGGTTGGAAAAAAGCAATGTATTAAATTTTTTCTATAGAATGTGAAATTACTGTGAAATGTGATAGATTGCTGTGATAATTCTAAAAGATGACCTTGGCCAATTTGGTGTTGATAACCACCTTGTCTAAGCAATTTAAAAGCAACTGCCACTTTTATTGGAGTTAGAAGTGAAGTGTATCTGCTTGGAACCACGAGGTCGTTTTTAATGGCGCTTTATACATACATAAACGCATCTTTATTGAGACATACATTTAGTATAAATCTATATAAATTAAATATATGAAAACGTTTGTGACATAATTCGTACTTCTATTTTCATACCCGTGGTCACTTAGGGATAGTATATTTGTTCGATCTCTTAATTTTTTTAATTCGTTGATCATTCTCATTCTAGCCATAATTCTTTTGTCCATCGTTTTATAAATCCTAAGACACCACCATAGGCTTTTTTTAACAAAGATATAGCAAGATTATCAAAATTTAATTTTGGATCCATTAAAATACAAAGAACAATAAAAGATTATACAGTTGATAAAACCGAGCTATTTAGTCATCTACTTTATGTTTACATTTGTTTAAATTTAAGTCTATACAATTTAATCTGCACCATTGGAATAGGCTATTTAAATCATGCTGAAGTAAATTAGCTTTCTTTACAGAATGATGGGTAATGTATAACTAGACATCGTCTGCATACATTAGAAAATTGGAATGCAATAGAGAATTCTGCAAATCAATTACAAACAATAGAAATAGAACCGGGCCTAGGTGACTTCTTTGCGGAACACCTGATGGAACAATCGGTTTTGAAATGCATCCCTCAAACGAAACTAGTTGTGACTTATTTCTAATTTATTTATCTAATTTACTAAATTTATACCAAAGCCAATATGATTATAAAGCAGTAATTAACTATAATTTGCTAATGTATCTGAACAAAGCTTATGCCTTGTTTGCATGATTTTTTTTTTATATTTTGTTGAAAAAAATCATGGTGATAGAATTCATCATCAAAATAAAAAAAAACTTTCTTCCACTCATTTAAAATTTTTCATCATATCTGCGAATCTGCACTTGGAATGTGCGCACGTTGTACAGAACAGGAGCAGTTTTCGCTTTAGTGGATGTACTCAAGATGTACAAAGCGTAAGTAAATAAGATATGGTTAACAGGAAAATAAATGACCTCATTTCCAGATTCACTCCAGTAGATGAGCGAATTGCTATAATCCATATAAAAACGAAGTTCTTCTACATCAGCTTCATTTGAGCACCAACAGAACAGACCCTTTCCTTCTTTATCTCTACAGGAGGATGTGGCAGCACCAAAGCCTTCGGTTTGGTATTTTACTCGTTGGTAAAATTTCCGGAATACGTTCTGACTCCTGACTCTCGATTTGCTCCCGCTCACGTTTTTTTTTTTTTTTTTTGTTTCTTCTTTTTTTTCTGAAAATACGTTTCTCCTCTCTCCGTTTCTCCCGATAATTCTCCATCATACTACGTGTTGCTACTGTCTGCAGGACTGCCCTAGCATTGCCTAGCATCACATCAGTAGCATTACGACACTCCTGAACGTACCACGGGCTTTTTGATGGTGGTCTTTGGTACCCAAGTGTTGATTTTGCTGCAACATGCCCAATGATTGGAACCTCAACATCCTGTGTCCCGTGCACAAAAAAGTAGAAAAGACGATATGTGCCAACTATTGAGGAATTAGCCTTCTTCCCATCGCATATAAAGTACTATCCAGCGTGCTGTGTGAACGACTGAAGTCAATGGTCAATGACATTATTAGACCATTCCAATGCGGCTTCAAACCTGGCAAATCCATCATTGACCATATTTTCACTTTGCGCCAAATCCTGGAAAAGACCCACGAAAAACACATCAACACATTCCACCCATTCGTCGACTGTAAAGCCGCATTCCACATTCTTATCCGTTCACAGGTGTTTAAAGCCTCCGTTCGGCATTCCTGCAAAATTAATACGGCTATGCAGTATAACTTCCAGTGGCAATGAATGTTGGAAAGGACCTCTCGGGAATGAGGATTCAGACAAGGTGACATTTTGTCGTGAGACGTTTTTAACATCCTGCTGAAAAAGGTCATGCCAGAGGCAAAAGTGGACAGAAATGACACTCTGTACACCAAACAACACATGCTTCTCGCCTACGCCGATAACATCGACATAATGGGACGAACATTGAAAAATTCGCTCGCTTCGTTTTGTGCTTATTTTACGAATGAATTTATGGCGATAAATTCTTTACAAAACAAGCATTCGCCAAATAATGTTCGCTCGCACACACATAACAAACGAGTTAGAGCACACAAACACTGTCTGCTACACACACATTCATTCGTTCTGTCTGTGTTTACTTTTTTATGATATTTTTGTTTGTTGTTGTTTTTAACATTTACATTTTGTTTTTTGAGTTTTTTAAAAGAATGTTCTTCAGCAACAAATGATCGGGAACGAACGAATTGACGACGCTTGCAGCGAATTTTTATCGTTCGTGATTTTTTCGTACAACGCGAACATTCGCGAGAGATTGCAAATGTTTATTCATTCATTGTAACTTTATCATTCGCAATAAATTGAAAACATTCGAATTCTTGCCGTGAGCAATCGTGAGAAAGAGCGTATTTTAATCATTCCTTGCTTTGAACAAATTGAGAAGGAGTGGATCTGGCAGTAAACGGCGAGAAGACCAAGCTGATGGTATCAACGCGCAAGACGTCCAGTAGACTCGGACCAACTGTGGAACTTGAGAACTACCTCTTTGACTACCTCGAGTCAAAGATTTTATATACCTTGGTACCGCCATAAATAAAACTAATGACATCAGTTTTGAAATTCGGAGAAGGATAGTGTTGGCCAACAGATGCTACTATGGTCTAAGTAAGCAGTTTAGAAACAAGGCCATCTCCCGGGAGACCAAACTCACACTCTACAAGACGCAGATACTACCCGTGCTGTTATATGGATCTGAAGCATGGGGTACTTACGCAAGCAGATGAGGCAGCTTTTGGAGTTTTTGAGAGAAAATTTCTCCGAAAGATCTATGGGCCGATCTGCGTTGACGGTGAATATCGCCGTCGAATGAACTATGAGTTGTACCAAGTACTCAAGGACATCGGCATTGTCA